TAATTTCTTCAGCTGGAAGTTGATACTGCTTTGATTTCTGATGGATTCAATGGAGCTGACCTATTCAAGAGTTGCTCAGAGTGTTATACCCATTCTTTCCTTGATTCTTGAATCTTCGTGACTGGCTTGCCTGCTTCATCTTTGACCAGTCCTTCTGGTTTGTTAGATTCTCCTGCCAGTTTCTTCGTTACATCATATATTTGTCTCATATTTCCTTCTCTTGCAGCTTTTTCCGCTGTTGTTGTTAGGTCTTCCACATATTTCTGCTTGTTGGTTCTAATGCTCCTCATCACTTGCTTGTTTGCTTCTGTGTATAAAGCTTCTGCCTTAACTTTCCCTGTTCTTGTTCGGCTGTCGTTATCTGCTGTCTTCTTGTTCTTCCTTTCTTGAGTCTTGTCCAGGATTTACATAGAGATTCATTCGTTATGATGATACTTATTGCGACCTAGCACCTCTTGACACATTGAAGTTAGTGCTTCTTTGATACCTTTCCAGTTGTTCTTCATCGTAGTTTCTCCTTTCTTCAGTAGATCTTGTAAGGCTGGGAACCTGTTGTTGAGGGCTATCTTGAATTCATTGAGTTTGTCAGTATCTCGAAGGAAGGCTGTATTGAACTTTTGTATTGCTGTTTGTCCAGTTGTCCAATTCTTCTTTAGCTTCAGTTTTGAAATGGCCACAACTGGGTAATGATCTGAAGCTATATCAGATCCTCTCCCTGTTTTCACATCTTCCATCATGCTGCCATATCATTCGATAACATCCATCATGATCCCATCCTTCTTTGTTTCGAGGGATACTTCTATGATTCTGGATCCATGAGAATCCCATTTTACAAGTGCTTCCTGTGATTCTTGAAACAACATCAGAGCAGCTCCGTGAGTATGTGGCGCATTTTCTTCTTCGTGATTAAAGTACAACAGCATCTCTCCCGAATCTATCCTTTTCTGTCCAGCTTGGACCTAATGAGTTTCAGTTATTCCGAGAACCGCCAAGTTTTATCTCCTCATTTCCGCAGCTATTCGCTTGATCTTCCCGACCTCTCACATTGTGCGAACATCCCATGTACCTATGTAAATTGTTGCTCTGGTTGTTAGAAATTGCATCGGCCTCATGATTTCCGAAAAGTCACGGCTTTCTTCATGAGGCGTCACAATTCTTTTGAATGAAGATTCTTTAACTCGAAGGACAGAGTTTAAATAGTTTAATTTGTTCTATATGATTAGTGTTTTTTTTAGGAAGAATGTATCTACAAGATAGGGATGCTGACCTCATGCCCAACCCTCCTCCTTTACACGGATTTGAAACTGGTAATAACCTTAGAACTAAGTATAAATAGAGAGACTAAAATTTCAGAACAACCTGTAAGCGTTTCTAATTGCCTACAAGTAACTTCAATCGCTTATTATGCCCAACGTGGATTCGTGAATTAATCTAAATAATTAAGAATAATACTCGGTGTTGCAATTTAAAGCGAAGAATTAGAGTCAGGGTTTTGATCATGAACTATCTTCAACTATAATCGTTGAGTGAATTTTGCGCAAAAATCCAAGAAGAGCTATGTGAAATTTGATTAGTTCGTTCACAAATTGTACAATTCTAATAAGTTTTCGATCGAAGTATTGAGTCATTTTAATTTAATTAATTATGGTACTTTCAGTTGTGGTTAATCTAGTAACAAACTTTCATCATAAGGATACTACCATGTTCTTCCATTAATAGTGTCCCAAGTCAAAATCCAGGGCTATATCCACAACATTCCTTTACGTTTAATTTCTTTAATTAAATTTGGCATTGGCCATGTTACGTCCTTGATTTGTCTACTCAGTAAAATACAGAAGAGAACATGTATCGATATAGGTTAAGGCCTTGAAGTGATAGGCTAACTGGTTTAACCGTGAGGCTAGAAATGCATGAGTCCGAATTGAGACTAACGATCTTGGCTAGAGAAATGAAAACTATTCTATCACCTGACGGATTGACAGGCAATAAAAGACGATTCAACTGGAACATTACTCGATTTATTCCCGATCCCTATTTCCGATTCCGATTAGTGTAAAAAGATACACGAATAAATAGATGAATAACATGGCAACAACACAAAAACAACTAGAAAACTACAATTATGAGCAGAAAAGTAGAGTACAAAAGGTTGCTTTTAAATTACAATAGCTTTGGAACAGAATTATACATCAAACGAAAGCTTATGGTTTATGGAATAAACTTGGGACAAAACTGAATGTTAGTGTTTTAAAAGCTTTGAATTAAGTGAGACAACGGTCCAAAAATAGCTTTCGTTGTTTCTCATGACTTATTTATTTCACTGTTCATATCAAGCCTTCATTAATAACAGTGATGAAAACGTTATTGGAAATAATTACATAACTGTACAGGATGAAAACCCAATAAATAATGTGTTTTAGTATATATATTTAAGCCTTCAAATTTATTGCTAACTAATTGATTCCTAGAAACATTATTTAAGACAATGTTTCCACTTAGAAAGACATTATCATTTATGATGTGATATCGTGTAGATTAATTTTTCTGATTAGCGTACAGGACAGCTGACAGATGCATTCCAAGTAAGGACTGGAGTCTGACAAGGCTGTCTACTCCCTTCCTCCCTCTTTCTTCTGGTGGTCGACTGGATTATGAAGGCCACGACATGTGAGGGAAAACACGGCATACAATGGGCAGCTCAGAAGAAATTACACGATTTGGACTTCGCAGATGACCTAGCCCTCCTATCGCATACACATGAACAAATGCAGATAAAGACAGCTAGTGTAGCAGCAGTCTCAGCATCAGTAGGCCTCAGCATACACAAGGGGAAAACCAAGGTCCTCAAATACAACACCGAGAACAGCAATCCAATCACTCTGGATGACAAAATTCTGGAAGACGTAGAATCCTTCACATACATGCGAAGCATCATCGATGAACAAGGAGGTTCGGATGCAGACGTAAGGCGAGTATTCGCAAAGTAACGACCGCATTCCTACAATTGAAGAACACATGGAACTCAAAACAACTTACGAACAATATCAAAGTGAGAATCTTCAACACAGTCAGTTCTACTGTAAGGAGCTGAAACTTGGAGAACTAATACTATAACCATCATCTAGAAGGTACAAGTATTTATAAATGGTTGTCTACGCAAGATAATCAACATCCATTGGCCGGATACCATCAGCAACAGCCTTCTCTGTGATAGAACAAACCAGCTTCCAACTAAAGAAGAAATTAGGAAAAGACGATGGAAATGGATATGACATACATTATGCAAATTGTCAAACTGCATCACGCTATGAGCCCTAACTTAGAATCCTGAATAGAAGCGGAAAAGTGGAAGGCCAAATAACACATTACGTCGGGAAATAGAAGTAGATATGTAAGGGATGAATAGGAACTGGAATTAGCTGGAAAGGATTGTTTGGGACAAGGTTGGATGGAGAATGCTGGTGAGCGGCGTATGCTCCTTCACGAGGAGTAACAGGCGTAATCAGGTAAGTTAGTAAGTAGTCCTGTAGAAATCATTTGTTCCTTTTAAGGTTGATTGATATACTCAAGTAACTATGTAATATAAATATCATTACCAAGGTTTGACTTGATCATTTCGACGAAATTGTGCACTGGTTAGATTTTTTAAAATAAAAAATAATATATTCGTAATATCTCAGCGAGTAGAAAAATTAAATTTTCTTACGTTTCGTAACTTGATGCAAGCCACTTCTTCAGAGAATAAATAAATAACCAAATCAAAATTAATGCAAGTGTAAATAGTATTGTTATCAAATGTGTTATTTATTTATAACTATGTAATAGTAAATATCGAAAGTTACACGAAACTAGTTAAATAAATACCTTATAAGTGACCTTCAATAATCTAGTTTAATCACTGATTTTGGAGATGTTATATTCTACAAACCAGTCAGTCAGTCAGTCAGCTACAACGTAGGAGTAGACACATATATGCATCGGTTGAAGTTGCCACACCTCATTAGCACAACCGAATTCATAGAAGTAGTTAATTCAGTGGAGGTAAGATATAAAAGAAAGATTTCATACAAGAATATAGTAGAGGAAGAAAGAATTAATTAGTAGAAACAAAGACATAAAGCTATTTTAATCTCATAGTTTAATAAAAGACAAAGAGTGTATACACCTATGCCATTATAATCGATTCTGAGCTATATCATCTAGAATCTTCAATCATTAATTACGATAGTCACCCGAATCGAATTATTTAGTTGTTATGTTTTGCATGGTCTTTCTAAACAACCATTATTAACATATACCTTTCATTAAAGTATCTAACAAGATAGTGAAATATCCACAATGTATTAAATCCAGTTAAAGTATACAGCACTTCCAACATTTCACATCCTGAATTAGAAACAAAAAATATTCAGTATCATTTCAGAAAACTCTGCCTAGAGTCCCTCAGGAGGCTACTGCCGGTCCCAATCTCAGATAAAGGAGGAGGGTTGGACATGGGGTTAGCGACCTCATCCCGTAGGAACAATGTTACAATTATAATTCAAATCGAACATACATACTATTCACGATCCAAAGCATCCATGACATAAGTATACATTAAACAAAACAAAAAAAACACACAATATAAACATGCCAACAACATACATATAAAACAAACAAAATTATATTCTCTCTGTCTCTCTCTTTCAGTATATTAAGGATGAAAGAAAAAAGAAGAAAAAAAAAGAAGATATGAAACTATTCAATAGATATTTCTCTTCTAGACATTCAATTATAATTTAGTAGCATATGATTTATACACGTGAATGATATAAGATGATGCTTCTAGAAGCCAAGATTATTGGTTCAATTAATAAACAGAAGTTGATCAAACTTAATTGATGATAATAATAATCAATGAATAAATAGAATTATATATATATATATATATATATATATATATATATATATATATATATATATATATATATATATATATATATATATGGTAATATCACTTGCTTTACCCTTAGCAACTATACTATATGTAATAGAATTATATATGTATATATATAGTAAATAGTAACATCACTTGCTTTACCCTTAGCAACTATACTACACTAATCATATACTCCCTTTTCTTCTTCTACTTCTTCATTAAATGGTTATATTCAAATTAATTCAAAAAGAATATAATCATGATGCACAAATTATATTTATATGGAAATTACAAAAACTTACTCATATATTAGAATATGAGGATATTTTAAAGAAATTACATGAATTAAATAATTTCAAATATAAAGATTATATCATTCAATGGAATTGTAAGTTTGAAGTTTTTAAAAATGTTATTACTTACTTATTTACTTACTTACTGACGCCTGTTATTCCTCATGGAGGAGCATAGACCGCTCACCAGCAACAATGTTCATTCAACCTTGTGCTGGGCAATCCTTTCCAGATCATTCCAGTTCTTATTCATCCTTTTTCATATCTGATTCTATTTCTCCACGTAATGTGTTCTTTGGCTTTCCATTTTTTCTCTTCCCTTCAGGATCCCATATAATAGGGCTTGTCTCATGATGCAGGTTGACGATTTGCATAATGTATGTCCTATCCATTTCCATCGTCTTTTCCTAATTTCTTCTTCAACTGGAAGCTGATTTGTTTATAGTGTGTAAATATTGATAATGTTTAGTTTGAGTTTATTTGATTAATGATACATACTTTAGAGAGTAGTATTGGAAGGAATGCTTCTAAATGCTCTGATAAGGCCGAAAGTGGGAAGATTCAGTTCTCTCTACCTCTCTCGAAATGTTGTCACATAGCCACGTTCATATAACCCCTGACAGGGAAGTCCTACTCACTACCTTATTGCGACTGCAGTGTTGTTTACGAAATTAAGAGGAACAAAAGCCAATGTTTGGGGCTTTATTTGGGGTTTATAGATAAGGAGGGTCTGTTATATCCGGTGAAGATTAAATTACAGGTAACTTCCAAGGACTATTCATGGACTAATATTCTATAAATATTCTTATTGTATAACTACTCAACAATTACACTATGTATATTTATATTCCTCTTATTATAAGCTTTATTTAGACTTATAATTTATTATTGTACGATTTACTGTCTCTAAATTATGCTCAGTCTATTAATTACTGTCTCCCTCATTCACAGCCACTTTTTGGCTTATTTGTGTACAAATATTATTTCCTATTTTATGGTACGTTGTGGTCTGTCTGATTGATATATAAACCGGGTATGTCTGAAATAAACGATCTGGTCTGATCTACTCTGATTCGATACATATTACGGAAGTTGGTATCTTGTTCTGGACTCAAGTGGAAGGGCTCGGAGGACCAACTGCCCACACCGGTTGAACGTCATTGGTTGGCCTAGTGTGAAGATTCGTATAAGTCGTATTCGGATTTGTAGATAAATTGTGTGATAGAAAAGTCAAACATACAAGGTCATAACAGTGTCCACCTAGGTGAGTTGGAAAACCCTGATTTCAAACCAATGGTGCACATGGGCTCCAGAATCCTGAAGGAACAAATGGTGTATGAACCTACTGTTGGTCACTGGCTACCATAGGACTGCATCTCCTTACGTTGCTCCACTGTCTTGTGGATCAGACCTGTAAATCACAGGCTCTAGGTGTGGCCCTCTAAGAAAACTACCTGCTTCGGTTTGGGCACTCGGGCAGTATCCCAGCCCTTAAACAAATCGAATGATTTATGTGGCACATATCTTATTGGTGCCTCCTTATAAAAATGTTTGTGTTGAATTGATAAAATAAAATTTACTGTTCAGTACACAAATGACACGGTGGTTTAATAAAATGTGAAAACCATACAGTCCATACATCATTTGGACATTTTCTTTGAATTGTCCTTCACATACTTCATTATTCATCTAATTCTGTTGTTATCTCGATTGCTTTCAATTTCCTTCTTCTTTGTCTTCATTTCAATCTTCTCAATCTTTTGCTCGCAGAAATGTCACTTCTATCTGGTGTCACTTACTACTCATATCTGTGAACATAATCAGTACACATCACAGTACATATTCCCTATTATCATTACGTTACTTTTGGTGTTGACATTCAATTACAATTGTTATTTTTCGATGTTGATGTTGATATGTTTGTATTCAATGTGAATAGATTGATAGTGTAAAACTCTGATTTTCAGATTGAGATAGATGATTAGCATCTATTTGAAATAGAACTAGATATTTAAACTGTATCACAAGCACCAAAGTAAGTCTTTATGTTGTTAGGATTTTAGAGACTTTCACTACCGTTGATTATGTTTTCAGATATCTTGACATGAACTAGAAATGAATTGGAATTAATGGCATGATTTTCAGTCAAAACATATGGCGTTAACTATTTTATCCTCCATGTTAGGATATGTAATTACATTGTAGTTATTCCCATGTCTTAAGGTTCAGTATGATCTAAATATAAGATTATTTGACGAGACTATAACTTATGACCCGGGACAGAGTGGGTTGGAGAATCCTGGTCGGCGGCCTATGCTCCATTAGACGTAACAGGCGTAAGTAAGTAAGTAAGTAAGCTATAACTTATGAACGAATCAATCACGTAGGAGATAACAGGTATTGAATTTTGGCGGTGTTGTAACGGGTGTGACTGCAGGGTTTGATACGCAGCGTTTATTTATCGATCGATTCGGTGACAGTGGACACGTAAACACGTAGTGGACGACCTAGTGCCCTGATTGGCCCTGCTTCGCTGTCTGTCCTAGCCAGTTGAGTCAAGAACACAAGCCACAGCCTCAGAGTTATGAATCATTATATTTCAAACATACTTTGTTTATATACCAATCAAGCATACCACATCGTACCATAAAATAGGAAACAACATTTACAAAATATTTAACAAGTGAAGTAAACATCGACCAATAGGAAATATACATTTAAGGTCCAAGGCCACCATAGACTTAACAATAATTATTGGTATATTCTTCCGACTATCCTAACAGGCGGAAAATTCACTTATCCTTTTGACTAGATAGAGTTTTGGTATTATAACTGATGTCAGTTCGTGATAAAAACCCTAAATGTAATCCCTAACCTTAACTATCAACTGTAAATCACAATCTCAGTTTCTCACACTAGTTTATAACCCTCATTTGGTCCTAATTATTACGTGAACACTCTCAAGGTCAGTTTAGCATTGCTCAAAGCTCATTCATAAATTATAGTCTCACTGATTATTTCATTTTTCTATCAAGGTGATACTAATCCAATTGGTCATGAATCATGAGTGATTTTTAAAATGACCAAACCACGAAATTTTATTTCTTAAAATGACTACATTTATTAGGAATACCTAAATAGTGATAACTGTGAACGTAATAACGACATCACGGTAGCTGTTATTAAAAATCAGTGCGCCCTCTACAACCTCGATCATACATCCTACTTACTAATGTCAACAAGAATAGATTTCAGAATGTAGGTGCTTTGTGGACCAGTTTAAGCAAACAATAATTTCTTCAGAGTATGTCATTCTGGTACCGTAAGATTTATCAGTTATATAACAATTACTGAATGGAATCGTTTTAGATTGAAATCATGAGTCGATTGAAGTTAGACTACCATGGAAAATCTGGAAGCACTGGACCGCCATTTCATCCTACTGTAAGATAATAAGTGAAACTGTTAAAGCCATTTGTTGACTTCATTGTTACTATTATAGAGAATAAATAAAAATTTTCTAATTTTACTGAATCTGTGTAAATTATGGGCGGTTGATTCATACTAAAGTTTAATTAAAAGAATAATAAGGTTTACTTACTTACTTACTCCTATTATCCCTCTCGAAGGAGTATGGGCTGCTCACATGCATTCAACACCCAACTCTGTCCTAGGCAACCCTTTACAGTTCTTTCCAACTGATATTCATTCTTTTCATGACTGCTTCCATTTCTCGGCGAAGTGTATTGTGCGATCTTATACTTTTCTGTTTCTTCTCAAAATTCCATCTTAGCGCTTGCCTCATCATGTAATTCCGTGATTTCTGTAATATATGTCTTATTCACTTTCACCATCTCTTGCTAATTTACTCATAAGCTGGAAGCTGGTTTGTTCTCTTACACAGTAAATTATTGCTGATGGTATCCGGCCAAAATAATAAACGGCTCGGATAGCTCAGTGGTAACGTCTCCGACTGTGAAGCTGGGTGACACGAGATCGAATCCGCCAGGGAGCACCAGTTCCCTCAAGATTACAGGTACACCTTGCTGACGAGTGCCAAGTAGCACGAAACCCGGGTCCAGGGTTTCCTGTTAACTACCTCCAACTACCATCTAAATCTCAATACATAGTGCCCGCAGTGTCGAGTCACCTAGACTGGTGGCCACATTGCAACATGATCGATAGCATTCGATCTGCACTAATAAGGACTAGACAAGCATGACACTGATCACCACCCAGTGATCAATCAATTGTGAACCTATCTATATATAAGAAGGGGTTTTGTGGAGATTTTAGAAATTTCACTGGTTGAAATCGTGAGTCAATTGAAGATAGACTACCATGGAAAACCTGGAAGCACTGAACGGCCTTTTCGTCCTAGTATGGGACTCCTCGGTAGTGCTCATCCACGATCCCGCACAGCATATTTCATAATTACTATTAATATCAGCAATAAATTCTATTTCGTATCATCCCATAATCATTAATTTTACGTAACTGAAATGATCACGGAAATCAATACACCATATGTGATTAAGACAATTAAATCAATCAGCATAGACAGTCAAGGTGAATGATGTGATTTATTGATTTTATATCATCGAAATATTTCATATACTGATCGAAATAATCTCCATGTGAACTATGAATGACATTAACTGATAAATCAATTAACTAACTATGTAGTCATTTTTATTTATCTTGTAGATAATCATAATCTATGTCAAATTACAAATACAGAAGATTTAAAAAATGCACTCAAACAATTATATCGTAAATATATCAAAGATCGATGTATCCGATTTCATATTACACCATTATCATATTATCATGAATATGGACCACCGCCACCGTATGAAATTACTTCTTCTTCTTCATTATTATAGTTTGTGAATAATTTCTATATATAAATAAAAAAAAGAAAATTAAATCATACATACATTCACTTAGTATTGTTTGCTTGAATCTTTCCATTGATGTCTAGGACTGCAATTTCGATCAGTCTCTTGTTGACATATGTGTATACTGTGCATATTGCCTCGATATTTCCTTCATTCACAAGCATTATAAGCTAAGATGGATAGCGGTTAGCGGTGGAATGAAGGACGCGCGTTTCGTCCCATTTGGGATTCATCAGCTAGATGTACCTACATCTCAGAGTTGATGTTCACTCCGGGACTCGAACCCAGCACCGTTCGATTCAAATGGCATCGCGTTATTCACTTAGCTATTGAGACCTGGTCGTCACCTGCTTGTACAATGGGGCGAAGTTTGGATTCACTTTGTATTATTTACTTGAATCTTCCCATTGATGTCTAGAACTGCAATCGATTAGTTTCTTATTAACATATGTGCATACTTTGCATATTGGATAACGCGATGGCGTTTGAAACAAACGGTACTGAATTCGAGTTCCAGTGTGAACATCCAGCTGACGAGTCCCAAATAGGACGTAAATCATACATAGTTTGTTTGATTTCTCATTTATGGTATTAATCAGATGTATTGAATACATTTGGTTGTATAAATGTATGGATTCATTGATATTATTATCATCAGTTAATAGTGAATCTATCTCGTAAAGTCTTTCAGTTTATATGATTCCATATTTCACAATATTAGTGCATTAGTTTATATGTTAAATCACTATCGTAATTGTAAAACAATGGAAGAAATTCTTTGAATCGTTCGAAAATATGAAGACGGTTCAACGAAGAGAACTTTCTTTTTGTCATTTACTTAAACTGTACAGTTGGATTTAAAATTAAGTTTACATATGATTATCTATGATAAAATAGTGAAGTGTTGGATCCTTTAAGAAATGCATGAGGAACTATCAAATGTTTCCATATATTGACTAAGAGTCATGTAATAGTTTTGTAGGCAATTAAATAAAAATAATATTTTATAGAAGTAATGAGAAGGGAAATAAGGTGAAGAATAAGATAATAATTGGTAATAATTAGTACAATTTAAAAGAACTTTAACTTTGTGGATACTCATAAAAAACGATTCTTCTGATGGAAAGTAATTCAAGTTGATCATATGTTCAAGGATCATGGAGTTGCTTAACTTACACATCCCTTTAGATAGCTGATAGGGTCAGTGTAGGGATATATGTTTGGTAAGTGCTCTTTTTTTATGAGCAATATAACTTGCTCCATATGAGATTTATTCATGTATTTCAACACATAGATATTAATACAAGGAGCCACCAAATACATATGCGCCACACAGATCTCATTTGATATGTGTGAGGGTTGTGATATTGCCCGGGTGCCCAAAATGAAGCAGATGGTTTTCGTAGGGGGCCACACCCGGGGCCTTCGACCAAAAGGTCTGATCCACAAGGCAGTAGGGCAACGTAAGGAGATGCAGTCCCTTAGTAGCCGGTAACCAACGACTGGTTCATACACCAATTGTTGCTTCAGGATTCTGAAGCCCATGTTCACCATTGGATTGGAATCATTGTTTTCCAACGCCCCTACGTGGACTCTCCATGTCTACCAACCCGGTTAAAGTGCCGGACGTTCGCTTTTCTTCTTCTGAATTCCGTAAACAACACTCTCGCCACGAGAAGGCAGTGTGTAGGATATCATCGGCAGAGGCTGTATACGCGTGGCCATGTGAGAGAATTTGGAGAGGGGTAGCGGACTCTCCCCACTCTCGGCCGTACCAGTGCATTTGGGGGCCCTTACAAGAGAAAACGACTCGAGGGTCTGACGAATAGGTTTTTCACAGAAATATTGATAGTCTGCACTTCAGTATATTCTCCATCGTATTTATTTTGAATCCGATGTTCATGACTTTTACTTTTGACTGAAGTGTCAGGGTACTTTAGCTTGTCGCATTAGTTTTAGACTGTTGTTAATAAACCTAAGGGGTAATAAATCATTCTTCATTAGTATTTGACGAATTTTATTCGATCGCCCATCAATTTCGCCCTTATTTACATTTGTGTAGTTCTTGACGATAGGGAATGGAATTAGTTTATCTTCCCAATTAGTGCCATCTTACTCTAAACGTTCATATACTAGCCATTTCAAGTTAGCTTGTTTATATCGATCTTTGTACAGATCCATTCTATCTTCATTTCAGTAATACATCAAGAAAAGGACATTTTCAATTTAACTCCCAATTCATTATCAAAGTAATCGACAGGAGGGATTTACTGAAGTAATATAATATTATTATCACTGTCATTAAATATGATGAAAGTATCGTCCAAATATCATTACTAAAAAGGAAATTTATTGATAGATCACAGAACGACCTGCTAGAAGATGGTTCACTAATGATCTGATTGTAAGCCTTTTTTCATTGAAATCATTAATAAATCTACGTTGGACGTCAAAGAGTCAGCGTCGGAATATTTCCTTTAGATAATGATTTGAGATGCCAATATCTATCGTATTGTTGCTAACAATCTCATAAGAAGCAGATTATTCTATGTATTAAACATTTGTGAAGAAAAAAGAAGCATGTAATGATAACATTTCCTTCCCACATTCACTGACGTTTGTTATTTAGTTCATAAAACCAAAGGAATTATAAGTTCCATTTCGAGTAAACTGATTTCCTACTGGTTATGGGTACATAGTAGTTTAGTTTAAATACATGTTCACAGTCAAGAAAGCTTAATAATGCAAATAATTCAAAACTATTTGTAACTGATTGTAAACGGTTTTAAACACTAACCATTGTTTATATTTCGACACTGACGTGACTATAATTTATGGACGAACCAATCACGTATAAGATAACAGGTCTCGGATTTTGACGTGAAGTTCACTTATCCATTTGGTTAAATAGAGTTTTGGCATTATAACTCATGTTAGTTCGTGATGATAACCCTAAATCTAATTCCTAACCCTAACCATCCACTGTAAATCATAATCTCAATTCCTCATACTGGTTTATAACCCTCATCCGGTTCTAGTTGACTACTCTCAAGGCCTCCTTATCAGTGAAAGTAATCACGACCAAACCAATCGTCACAAAACAGCTAAGTTTGAAGTGGCTACGAGTTCACTTAATCTGCGAACGGAAAAAAAGACTCGGTAACCAAATACCTATAAGCTAGCTATTCTATTGCATCCCAGCCCCGCCAAGTAGAGGAAGAAGTCCAAGCTTGGAATGGGAAGTATATTCCACAAAAAGCCAGAAGAGTGAGTGATAACAACAGACACAAAGCAAAACGTATATATACAGTACAAAAGCGTCCTTGGGAAGCGTCACAAAATAGCATACTAAAAGACGCAACGGACCAATAGCATTTAAGATATTTCCTAATGAGAAATATGACATGAAGATGAAAACAAAGAAATTCAAATATTCTAAATTAAATTACAAAATTAGATCCTTTTTTAAGTGAGTTCTGGGGATTTAACTCCCCCAACAAAAACCCTCCAAACAATGTACTTACGTACATACGCAATTACGCTTCTTGTAATGGCGCAGTATTTAATTGAAGTCTTATATGAGAGAAATTTGACTATGAACCACTCGCAAATGTACTGATTTTAAAGATATTTTATATTATCAATCTTGTATTCAACATCATAGTCCATATGTTATTCATCTCATAACTTAAGTGTATTCGTTAGGAAATTATAGAACGACATTGAGCACTTAGAACCAATGAAGTATGTGATTTGTTATTAGTAACTGACATTAACATTGTAAATATGTAAACCCTTTTAAATAAAAACCACACCAATTGCACAAACTAGTGTCTCCCTGAACTTAATAGTTCAATCGATAACGCGTCGTCATTTTAAGAGAAAGGTATTGGATTCTAATCTCTGTGAGAAATTTCACACTGGGATTTAGAAACATCCTCCAGACGAGTCCTAAATTGTATGAAATCTGTATCTTAAATTTTACTGATAGTCACAATCCAACTTTGATGAAAATTTGTGACCTACTCAGAATGCATGTATTCCAATAAAGACTGATCAGTCAGTTTCTCTAAAATCATCAGTCGGGAAATGTCAACCCTTTCAAATAATTTAACATATCAAGAATAATTTACTCAAATCAACCATTCGACAAGGATTATGTTATTGGTGTAAAATAATTTGAAGTAGAAGTAAACATATTTCTGTCGGATGTGATTATCCCTTACCGACAACGTATAATATGGAACAGGATCATGCTCTAACTCTAGCAAATCGTCAAATGTATGCACGACAGTTGACCAGAAAGTATTTCCGACAGCATGATGTATTTCCCATTGCCGATTAGTGCTTGTTGTTTGGGGAGAGTTTAGTGATTCCAGTCACTCTCAGATGCTGATTATCAAAACAACTCCACATAAGTGATCTGGATGTGCAACATCTGAAGTTACTAGGATGCAGCTACAATAAATGAACACGGATGGATTGGGACACTGAGAACATGTTACAGATGTGTTTACAATGCATCCAATCAGCAAAACTACCATCAAAGATCCAGGCATTCCTATAGTCATGTGCAGGAAAGTCATGATTAGTGGTTATGCTGAATATGCGTCAAACATCAAATACATTAGCAGTCACATTCCTGAATAGATTTTCCGTGTAACTCGGTCTTCTGGGAACGTTGGTTGCGGCAAACGAGACTCAGTTCATAATATAAAAATCTTCAGACTTCTACTGCAAGAATGTGGTTATACATGTTTGATCGCTGCCCTACTATTTTCAGTTTAACGGACAGGCTGAAAGTTTCGCAGGTACAACTGGGTGAGCCCTCATCCACTCGAAAAGATACGGAGAACAACGGAACAAACTGTCTGGACTTTTCTGAAGGCAGGATAACACCGAACCTAGCCTGTTCTAAAGGTATGACTAGTTAAAGCAATGCTAGTGAGAAAACTCCGCACTTCATTAAATGCTATGTACCCACAGGAAGAAAGGCAGAAATAGAAACCAGAGGTGAATGTAAATGAACGTCAATTACCGGATG